TTAAAGTACTTTTAAAGTATTGTATTTATTTTGAATATAATCAATTATCAAAGTATACAGGGTTTTTAGTAGTATGTCATTTTGTTGAACTTATTGCAGTTATGACATTACTTTTGGAAAGAACCATTTACATTTCAGAAACGTCCCAGAAATCTCAGTACATGCCCAAGCACTTAATTTGTAAAGGAGGTTAAGAGGTATAAATGTATGTAGGGTCAAGCTTGGGTGATGAATTAGAACTTCAGAGGTTTATATCACCCTATTTAAAACCAAGGTCATGTATGACAAGAATTCCAACACAGCCATCCAAGGTCATCAAAATGGAAAAAAAAAAACACACGGCCCATGGGCCTCATCGCTCACATGAGTAACTTTGGCCATGCTGTTCTTTTACTGATTTCCCACATGTAATACTGATTGTGACCCACACTACCTCTAGTGGTCATGATTTAGACAATTTAGAATCTACACTATCCTACTATGATGCTTTCAAATAAGTTTCAGCTTTTCTGGCCAAATGGTTCTTGATAAGAGGTATTTCTTAATGATTTTTCCTATATATTTCAGTGTAAAAATTGGATTCCTTAATGTGAACACGCCCTACCTCCGGGGGTCATGATTTGAACAATTTAGAATCTACACTACCCCGGATGCTTCCACATTAGTTTCAGCTTTTCTGACCAAGTGGTTCTTGAGAAGAAGATTCTTGAGGATTTTTCCTATATATTTCAATGTAAAACTTGGATTCCCTATTGTGGCCCCGCCTTATCCCTAGGACTCACGATTTTAACAATTTAAAATATACACTACCTAAGGATGCTTCCACATAAGTTTCAGTTTTTCTGACCCTGTGGTTCTTGAGAAAAAAGATTTTTTTTAATGACCCCACCCTATTTTTGTCTTTTCTTGATTAACTCCCCTTGTAAGGGGAATTGGTCCTTCATATTTACAATTTAAACTTCCCTTTACCCAAGAATGCTTTGAACCAAGTTTGGTTAAAATTGGCCCAGTGGTTCTTGAGAAGAAGTTGAAAATGTGAAAAGTTTACAGACGGACCGACAGACAGACGGATGGACGACGGACCCCGGGTGATCAGAAAAGTTTACTTGAGCTTTTAGCTCAGGTGAGCTAAAATACAACGAATTTTCCATCATGCATGTCAACAGTACATAATTTATTCAAAAATCATGCATGTGTGGTATTGTACATACATGTACTTCAATAAAATTTATTAATTTATCAGTACTACTAGAGGGAACTTCAAGGCTTTTTTTTTTTAACTCTGACAGAAAATTAATGCGCAAGTCTTGTCTTGGAAATGTTTCCACTACTATGGAAATTTATTTCCATGATTAAAATCACTATAACAAAACATTGAAGGTTTGTTCTTGAAATATACAATTTCCAAGAGCCAAGAAATATTTGATCCTAGTTTTCGTACAAACGATGAGAATAAATGTGAAAAAGAAGGATGCCATCAGGTTGAATGATAAAGAAATAGAAGACGTTGAAGCATTTCTCTACCTAGGTGCCACAATGGACAAGAACGGAGGAACTGAGGCAGATATTGGAAGAAGGCTTGGCTTAGCCAGGACAGCCTTTGCATCCCTTGCCAAGGTATGGAAGTCAGCACAATACAGTACAAAGACCAAACTTAAGATCTTCAACACGAACGTTCTATCTGTGTTGCTGTATTGTGCCGAACTATGGAGAACAACAGAAAAAGATGATGAAAAGCTTGATACATTCCACCGAAAATGCCTTAGGAGGATCCTTAAAATACACTGACCTGAAAAGATAACAAACCAACAACTATATGAAAGAACAAGATCCATACCTCTATCATGAACCATCAAAAGAAAAAGATGGAGATGGATAGGCCACATCCTCCGAAGGGAGAACTCTCACATTAGAACAGCTCTCACCTGGGCCCCTGAGGGAAAGAGACGAAGAGGACGGCCAAAGAACACCTGGAGACGCTCTGTTGAGAGAGAAAGGGAAGAACTGGGTTGGAACAGCTGGAAGGAGGGACAAGTTGTTGCCAGTGACCGCCGTAAGTGGCGTTCGTTGTTGAACGGCCTCATGCGTCCTCCGGGGCACGGAGAGGATAAGTAAGTAAGTAAGTTCGTACAAACGTTACGTTTAATCTAGTTGAGTCTTCAAAAACCTTTCAATAAAAATATTGAGAAAAAGAAGTGCCGCACACGTCAAGAAATTACTTGAAAATTGCAATAAACCTTGCATTTTAAGATGTTAACCAGAATCTGTGCAATTACGGAAAATAAAAAAATAAAAATTAATTGATGGTTATCTTTATTTTATTTGATGCAAGTGACTAAAATAATTCACGATATGTCAACCCATTTAAAGAAATGTCTTATTAGAATAAAGTATTTCCTTTTAGTAAACTTCATAATTACGACCTAAATAAAAAGAGAGAAAAAAAAAAGAAGGACAAGGACGCATGTCCTCTGGTTTCTTGGAAATACTAGTATTACATTTCATCAAGTACCAGTTAAAATTAGATGTTAGATCCATATAAGCTTATGATGTAATAATAATAAAAAGTTTAATTAATTCAACAATATTTTGATTGCTTTGCCTTTAAAAATACTACGTATTTGTTTTAATACTAGTGTTCTAAGGGTAGGTTTATTTTCAAATGTCAACATTTTGGGTATTTGTAGACGATATATTATGTTATAGGTCCCAATTAATTAAATACGTTGTAGGGCTAGTGTGAAAAAAGGAAATTCAAATGCTATATATATAGGTCTATACTCAGTATTAGAAATTAATACTTATATTTACGGGTGTGTCAAGGAAGCTGTGTTCGATTGACCCCCACCCCCACCCCTCGCCAAAAGAAAATTTCCCTATCATCTCTGTATCATATCCAGTCCTCAATTACAAAGAAGCCACACCAAGGCGTGGACATTCTCCCTGGTTTTCCATCATCTTGGTATCATCCAGCATTATAGGCCACACATTCTTTTTAACGGTTTGCTATTTAATATACTGACACATTTTTGCAATAAAGGTATTGCATCTTTTTACATCCTTTTTCCAAGAAGTAATTTACATGTATATTTATATAAACTAATTATGCTATAATAGTAGCTAAGCAAGTAATGTTTATAAAACGCTTCTTGGAGTTTAATTTACAAAAATTAAAATATCAGAAATAATTATCTTAAATTTGTACAGTTTTTTGTTTCAGTAGAGCAACCAAGGGTAAAAAGTTTAGAGTCAACACTAATTGACAGAACAAAATTTTGATAAAGTATACTTAAACTTTCAAATGCTGAAGTGAAGATGCCCATAATCTTCAATCTACCTAAGTGCAATACATGTAATACCATCCTGACACTTTTTTTTTCATTTGAATACTTTCAAATGCAAATTATAATTTTTTTTTTATCTGTAAATTTTGAATTTAAATCTGCAATATTTACTGTTTAATCTGTAAAACGTATACACTTTAATCTGTAAATTTTACACAAACAATTGTTACTTAGGACACTACAACGACCACAAACTAGAGTTTACGTAATACTAACTTTAATTAAACGATGTTGTGAAATCCCTTTAACTTCAACTTATCTGCCAGTAATCTGCCTTGGTTTCAAAATTGGAGCATACTTTTGAGTATCAGATAAGTTGGAGAATATAAGCTGTGCGTGATTCCAAAAGATTGCTGGACAGATAAAGTGTTAAAGAGGTCTGATTCGCAATTGGATGGAGAAGACTAATAAATTTTTATGTGTTTGCGTCATCATACATTGCAAAACTTGATAAACAAATATTGTTAGCCAAATAAATATGCTTGTCTTAAATTTTATTTAAAAACAATCCAACAACTTTTACAAATAAAGGTTTAATTTAAATTAAATCAAATATTTTTGATTTATCATACATTCCGCTTATTTTGAATGACGTCAAGATAGAAGATAAAGAACAATGATAAGGAAAACGTACTTCAGAGTGTCCAGCTACACAAGTTATTTAATACTCAGTCTCAATCGCAACATCTCGGGTCTTTCCGACTATAGCGGAAAAACGACCTCGAATGTATATGGTAGACGCCATGACAACCCTCCCTTTTCACGATCTTTGAAATAAATGCATGGAGACCTTTTATCTGTGGAATATGGAGTTTGACTTTATTCAATGTAATGATATTACTTAAAATAAACTGTCGGAGGGACTTCTAACTCCGTCTATCCTATATTAATAAACAGGAAATGTATAAATTTTTAACATCCGGTGATGTTAATACATTCGAGGTTGTTTTTCTGACCTCTGGCGGAATGACCCGAGATGATGCGATTGTACTCAGTCTTACACGTGTCGTGATCGTCTGCTCTAGAGTCGCAGAGTAAGGAGCTGGCCTCGGGGCCACAGGGAGACGAGCTCACTTTTGAGTCCACTATATATTCCTTCTAAGAAAGCGAGACTGCATGATATCAAAAGTGAGCTAGTTTATGTTTTATGGCCCCGAACCCTGATCCTTACATCGTGGGTTCGAATCCATTCTTGGACATTGTTCCGTGTCGCAGTAAGTGCTGGCATGAAAAAGATCCCCCACTGCTCAATGGCCCTTAGTGCCGAGTATAGGACAAAATTTGCAGCCTCTCCGCCTGTAAGTAGTGGCGTCTCCATATGAAAAATTCTAGGGAGGGGTGTTTAATCAACAGCAAACAAACAGTATCACAGGTTCATATAGAATCGAAAAACACAATAATTTTATGTTTTAAAGCGTGTGAACCCCTCATAAAGAGTTTCTCTGTATCTATAATCATCTATGAAGTTCATAAAAACCATAAAACAACGCATATATATACAATTTGCATTAGACGGAAGTATAGTCAAATTATTTTCCTTGTGGTAACATTTGGATAATTTTTAAAAAAATATTTTATGTGTTCGATATCTTTGATGTCAAGCTACATGTAAATTGTAAAATGTGCTACAACTACCTGTCTATAAAGAACAAAAAATACCTGTAACGGTTGCATTTATTGTGCTTTTACCGGGAAACAAATCAACATCAACTTTGATTGTTCATACATCATGCAAAGACTCATATTTATAATTTAAATTTTTAAATGCGTTTTGATTGTACAAATAATTAAAATTATATGCATGGTGGTAAAACGTTCCAATATGTATATTGTTCTCAAAATATTGAATTGTATGGCATAAACAAAAATACAAATGAAGGAGACAAACATTTAAATCTGCATAAAAACTGAGATTCTTGAAAATAAAATAAAAGTACAGAGAAACTTAAATTGGCTGTTAAAATGATTAATCTCATTAAATACCCTTCTGCTGATTGTAAATATGAAAAAAAAAAAAACATCCAGATGTGTCACTGAACACGCGGTAGGTTCCAAATGCTCAACACGTGTATTATGCCTAAATTTCTTGACTAAAATTGGTTCAAAATGCTCAACACGTGTATTATGCCTAAATTCTTGACTGAAATTTCTAACAACAAATTTTTCAAACAGCATAAGTGAAATATTGCGATATGACTAGTACCTCATAGAATGTGTACGAGAAATAGTATTCATGTAACGTCTGAAATGAGACGGGGTTTTTACTGCATAAGGACAATCTAAAGAATATAAGTACGTATGTATCAATGGCTTTTGAAAGTTGGAACTAAGGAATATGTGATGACAGTTTACGGGTTCTATTAGTCAATGGAATCTAACAGGAGAGAATGGTGCCCGAGGATGAGATCGCTCACCTGTCCTAAGATTGGTTAGGCTTTTATAATATGCGACGATTCAATTTGTAATTCCACGTTATTTAATTAACACCAATTTAGTACCATGGGTAAAAAGGAACACGTGTTTTTAAAATTATTTGTTCGATACATAACGTTTTGAGCATGTAGAAATTAAAACATAATGGAATTTGCGTTCACAGGCAAGTCACGAAAAACGTACCTCGTTCTGATATTTTATATCACAAAAGTAAGCGTAACAACAGATATATAAAATTACAATCCATGATGAAAGTGAACACTCGTGGTATGCTATACTTTCTCTTTGTCTTCTATACTGTAGTTGATTGTCTGTGATGCACTAAGCCCTTGTCCATTTGATGCCTCCGACTGCAACAAACTCTGTGCGTCCACGTGTGACGTAACCACTTCCCCATTTGGCTGCACCTCTGACGTAACTACCGCTAAAACGAGGAATGGACTGACTTCTGAACTGTACCCTGAACTACCCGATGAATTGCGACTGCGTGAACCCATTAATGACTCGATGTCCGACGATTCTGACGGCCTTTGTCCATGAACACCTGCTCGAATTTGGCGCTGGCGCCGTCTTTCACGCCTACGGCGTTCTCGATCGGCTTCGGCGCGATCACTTGGAATATAATGTTGCGGAAGTTGGCTTGGCATACGACACATTTTCTTGATTTCGTCCGCAAAACAACACACTATGAATAATAACAGAAAACAAACACAGAATGGAATCAGTAAAATCAAGCCTACTGATTCCATCTCTCGGTGGCGAGATCCGAGGTGGGTATAGATGATATTGGATTTCTTAATACCAAGTCTGGATCCCAAAATTATAAATATTTCTATGCAATAACCTGAAAGTAAAAACGAGACGTTAGAACCTAAAGAGCTTGCGTGTTACTCAGTCTCTAAAAACAATTAACTAGCAAGTATGGCGCCCCCGTTGGGCGCCTCAAGTTCAAACAATTCTACATGCATCTAGTACATGTACGTTTTAAAAACACCACATGGACTTCAATTTTAAATGAGGTAATGACAAATAATAACAACATATTTTAGATAAAGAAATATTCAAAATTGAAAATAAATATATATATATAAATATCCATTCGTAATATCATTATTATGGATACAACCTTCTCTGAATCACATGGCTTGCATTGTTTTGGAGAAATTTATCCTCGGCAGTTCTGGAATCAAAATGTCTTTATATATTTTCTGCAGTTTTCAATTAAATTCACCACTGTATGTCGATCTTAGCTAGACTTTCAGTAGAAATGTCACTTCACCAGCACATTCCTTCTAACGTTAACGTTCCTTTACATGTTTGCAGCTTGACTTTGTGGGTAAATTTCCATTGACCCGCCGATCATTTTATTATGTATCCTAAAAATAGATCTGGATGTAAACAATGGATACAAACACTAACGCTCCGATGTGCAGTAATATTTATTAGCGTGTAGTCCAGCAATGTTGTCTTCTTACTACTTCATATGATTGTATAATTGTCCTAAGTGCACACAACTCATTTACATTGTTAAAGAACACAAGGGGGAATTCCAACTTGTTGAAATGGGGTCACAGAAAGGGGAGTTCAAAAATATGCACCCATACATTTCCTGACATATAAAATCATAGCAAAACGTTATATATTGTCTTATATTGTACATATTAAATAAATCGCACTTTAGTAATATACAGAAAAATCATATCTTTTGTAGAAGTCTATAATTTTTTGCATTTTGCATTTTAGCAGATGCGCGCATGTGCATATATAGGTATATAAACATAGATCCTCAAATACTTCACGTTTTTTAAAAAACATATCACGCACTGATCACTTGGTTTTTTTTTGTATGTCGATGTCGGTCAACTTCTGTAGGTCAAACTAAAAGGTGAACTATACTTAACTAATTAATTAATTACACAACGAAACGTAAAACATCGTAGCTATAAATAAAATAATAAAACAGGGATACAATAATACAACTATAAAAAATAAAACAGGGACACGAGCACTAAGGTATTCACTTAGTATTTATTAATTTTTGATAGCGCAAAATTGGTTGCCTAAAAACAAGAAAAGCGGAAATATTTGATCTTCTTTCAATAGCAAGGGAGGGGGCTCATACAAGTTTATAGGTTTAAGGTATGAAATTTTTATATAAGGATTTTCTTCTTTTTTTTTTGAGAAGTATATTTTGGATAAGTACTCATATAGTTGAAAAACAGCCTTACAGGGGTCAGTTTGCATCTTACTGAGCTACGATACAATTAAGTTTACCTTAATTTTTGCACTTAAATGTTAACTCTGGGCAATCACTTTAACCTTTAACATATTTTATCAGATGTAACCATTGCAATAAATACAATCTTATTTTTACGTGAAATAGTTTGAATAATATTTATTATTGAACAAATGTTGCAAATTAATGCGCGCAAATTATTGTGTGACCTTTTTACACTAAAAAAAATAACATATTTTGGGTATTCAAAATCTAAATAGGCAATAAAATAATCTTTTGTATCAAACTTTTCACGGATAAAGTGCTGATCAGTCACAAGTATTGAGTAATTTAAAATAATAAAAGAAAAGGTTGGGGTCACTGATGTAAATTTTGAAATATTGGTCAAAATAAGCAATATTTCTCGGCAAAATTTGTCGAGGGAAGGTGTTAATTTTTTTTAATAAAAATATAAATTGAGGCCTTTATTTAATATTCCTATCATAACGTTAAAAATTCTCTGAGTTAAAGTATGTAAGGATTAATTTTCAAGATATTGAATTTAACATAAATGTGCAAATTTGCAGAATTTTCTGCTAAATATGATCATTTCACCACAAGAAACAGTCCATAGTGAATCTTGCTTCTTTGTGACTTTCTAAGCATTACTTTCATTGAATGTTAAACAAATTTACATTGTTTCATTTAAATATGTTTTAAAAATTGATTTTTTTAATAAATAGTTTTGAAGTAAGAGGTTCTCTCTGAACTTTTCAAAAAAGCTGACGAGTGACATACCTTAACTTACATGCACATAGTGCCCTCTGTACACTAAAGAGTTATCTTACATGTATGCAGTTAGAGCGATGTACATATATATATATATAAATAAATATTTAACCCCCCCCCCCCCCCCCCCGTAGCAGAGATTAACTTCATATAGTATTTTGTCCGTATAGTAAACCTCTGCATAACCTTAAGCAGTTTGAGCCTTTACGTATTCCTTTGGGAATACATTGTATTTACAGAATATTTTCATATATACTCATGTGTTCAAAGTTTCATAATTAACTAATTAAAACACAATGCCATATATATATGCATTTTCGTTTTTGAAAGTTGACAAAAAGACTTTTGTTTTTATAAACTGTTGGGCAACGATTATCATTATACAAAAAAGATTTTTGAACACACCCCATTAAAAACTGTAATTCAGGATCTGAAAAAAGTCGTCTAATAGTGTAAAACAGAACAATGCAAAAAATTACTTGTTACAAAAAATTGAAAATTGCTCCCTGATGCAAAAATTGATTAAATCCTATTTCGTATGTGTGTGTGTGAGGGTGTGTGTGTGTGTGAGAGAGAGGGTGTGTGTGTGTGTTGTTTTGATAATCATTTTTGAAAATTCCTTTTTACTGTATATAATGGTTTTCAAACATATCTAAGGGGGTTTGTAACATGTTTTTGGTTGCAAACTTTTTCATATACATGAATATCAGTAAACTATATATATGTACTATATTGTTCTATGGACTCTACACCATTTATCATGTGGGGTATAGTCCACAGTCCAATATTCTGCTTGAAAGTGATGGAGAAAACTGAATCCTTGAATAATCCTGGCAAAGTGTCTTTGTACATATTCAAGTTGTTGCATTTTTAACCAAAAAATGATGTAAACTTTATATTTTTGCAGATACAACGGGATGAATGTCAGAGTTATTAACACCAATAGAATATAAAGAGTGGATTTTTGATCTGAACACACTGAACTTTTCAATTTGCCCTGTAGAAGACAACCAGCATACACTGGGTTACAAAAAGCGTTATATGTTTTTTGCCTACACATAAAAACACTTTTACTTGTAAATGCATCACTAGAGAAAGGAACCATTTAATGATTTTGGTGAATTGTTTTATATTTTAAAACAATGTGTAAATCACCCAGTAAAAGGCCATTGCCATTTTTGCATATCTCATGTAATAAATCATTAATATACACAAGAAACATAAAAGCACTAAGTACTCTTCCTTGTCCTACACCTTGTGAGCTTTTAAACAAATTGGAGTTTACACCATAAAATATACAAAGCATTTGCTCATCATACCAGTACTTTAAAATTTGCCAGATTATATACATGAATAATAAACCATTATGCCAAATTCTGTCAAAGGCTTTTTCATTATCTAAAAATGCATTCACACAGTTCTGTTCTTTTAGAACATAACAAGCTGGAATTGCACCGTAGTCATTTCTAAACCCAAATTGTAGATTATGTGGAAATGAGTTGCCACTTTTAACTACTCCAGTATATCATCTTCAATTTTTGACAAAAGTATTTTTTCGAATAATTTGCTTACTACAGATGTCAATGTAATACCCCTGTAATTGGTAGGAATACATTTATCTTTGTTTTTACCTTTATAGATAGATATAATTTTTCCTACTTTAAACATTTCAGGGACGTATTTTTCTCGAATTACAGCATTAAAAAGTAAGCACAGCTGTTCTGCTACAAAATGACCACTATATATAAGGTGTTTTTGAAAAATCTGGTCCAGGAGCTTTCCCTTTGGTGAGCTGATCAATTTGGTATTTATATAATGGATATAACGACCCTGTTGAATAAGTTATCACTGTTCTTTAGATCATTATCGATGTTCTGCACAGCGTCATCTATGAAGTGTTTAAAATCTTCATCAAATTTATCTGGATGGTACTCTTCGTTAGCAAGGTTAGAATAATATTCTTGCCATAAATTACACATGTCATTAATGTTCTCAAACGGTTTTTCCTTTATAACTTATTTTGATGGGAAAGATGAACCTGATCGTTTTTTATTTTTCCATGCTGTCCTATAGAATGTTCCTATATCAATTTCAGCGGCTTTGTCAGTTTCGTCAAATATTGAATGGTGCCAGTCTTTTTGTGCAAGTCTGTGCAGTCTTCTGAATTTACATTTTGACTTTTTATAGTTCTCATAATATTCATTTTGTTTATCTCTAGGAGATCCCATAGATTTCCAAGTCCTTCTAGAGCATCTCATTTCATAGTGGGCGTTGTTTAGCTCGGATTTTTTCCAGTATGGTTTTAGATGGGGGTTGAATTTTCCATGTGGTATATGTTGATCAGAAGATGCTAAAAGTGAAGCAGTAATTTGTACAAGGAAAGTATCGATATTATCCTTATGCAGGGCACTTGTATTTACTGAGTTGAAAAGGTTAGCAAACGAGTTTTTGAAAAAGCCAATTTCCATTTTGGAATTTTTTGAATAGTCTGGAGGTAGCTGGTCGAAAACACTAGCTATGTCAATTTCACAAAGCAGGGGGAAATGGTCAGAAACTTTATAGGCAAAGTCTTGATATATTTCTTTATATTTCACTTCTTGAGAAAGACATTCAGGAACGAAAATGTAATCTAAAAGTGACTTAGTTTTTTATCCTTTGTTTGAAATGTATGTTCAATTTGGTCGTCAGTCGAAAATATACTACAAAGGTTTCTGTCTAGCTTCGATTTTGGACTGTCAGATTTATTTCTAATATCCGTATTAAATTACAGTACCAGTTTCACTAAGTTCATCAGACAAATCAAATACATCCTGCAGCACACGTTTATATTCCTCGTAATGATGGTTTGTAAAAATCTATCCTATAATGAACAATTGGTTCGATATTTTCAATTCCCATTATTCTTTCATTCGTTGTTTAAATCTTTTAAAAAAGTCACTGTTATTTCATCAAAAACTTCTCTAGTGATGTTGTTTTTGGTTGTTCCCGGTGTTGCAAAACTTGTAATTTTGTTTGATGTATGTAAACATGATAAACAGTTTTTCGGTAGCCAATGTTCCGATATAAAAACGACATCTGCAAATTTTGTTAAATCAGATAGCTCTGATAGGCAGGTGAAAACGCCATGAACAGGAAAATTGCTCCATGCAAACTCGAAAATCCTATTTCGTGTGTGTGTGTGTGTGAGGGTGTGTGTGTGAGAGAGGGTGTGTGTGTGTGATGGAGGGGGGGGGTTGTAGGGGCCAACTTTTGTTAGGATGTAAACTATATATAGCTATATTGTTCTAGGACTCTACACCTCATGTGGGGGTCAAAATCTCAACTGAACAACTGCATATTTCTATCGTTGATTTTTCCAAAAAATGATGTAAACTTTATTTGGAGTCATTCCATTCCTACTGAACCTGAACCAACCCTAAGACCCCGGGTTACATTATATGTTGTGCCTACACATAAGTAAATGCATCACTAGAGAAGGTACCATTTAAGGACGTTTTATATTTTAAAACAAGTGCTTCAACTAAATAAATTTTATAGGTAGTAAAAAAAAGTCCATATATGCAGTCACTCATTATATTTAATTATATACATGTATACTTTGATTTCAGAAACATTCACACAGTTCTGTTTCGTTTCGTTTCTTTAGGTTTCATTTTGATTTCGTTTCGGCAGATTTCGTTTCAGCAGATTTCGTTTCGTTTCGGTAGACTTCGATTCATTTCAGTTTGTTTCGTTTCTATTTTGTTTCGCATTTTACAGGTATCCGTCCGTGTTATGGTGTTTTGAATGCAGTAGCTTTCGTAACACTTTTAGTTTATATAAGCAAAATACATGTTGAATGTAAATATTACTTTTTGAATAAACATAAAGAAAATGAAATGTAAACAAAGTAAGTAAGGAAGGGGCTCTTTTGATAGTAAAAAATGCATTATTTCTTTGAAAAATTTCTCTGCTCCTGGGAAATGCAGTGATACTATGAAATTCTTCTTTGCAACTTGGTATTTAGCAGATGAACTAAGGTTATAAAGAGTGGGTATTTTGGATCTTTTCAAGCAAAGCGTTTTTAGTCCGCTACTCTCTTGTAGTCCTATCAAATGAAGGCATGCGCGGATCTATTTTGCAAGGTTTTTAAATTTACATATCAAAGCAAGAAAAAGTTACCTTGGATCCCCCTCGGAAAACGCAGACCCCTCCTGATAAACACGAATTTGTGTTAAATTGGTATGAAAAGTCAAAGGTTTGAAGCATCACCCCCCCCCCCCCCCCCCCCCACATACACACACACACGAAATAGGATTTTGAAGTATGGGCGAATTTACGTTTTTTTTTCTTTCTTTTTTTTTTTTTTTTTTTGCTTGTTAAGAAATTTCTGGGTTGGATTTTTTTTGGACTGAGTTGGACTCCCCCTGAAAAAAATTTATGGATCCCCGCTTGGAAGGCCTTTTTTGTCAGCTATTAATACCATTCGTGTGCCCGTCCGCTAATTTAGCTGTCCGTCTGTCACAAAAACTTTAACCTTGGTCACATATTTTGAATGAGAAGAGAAAGTACTTTCATATTATACATGTTTTTCATATTATGCATGACTGTGTATTACCTGTGACAAGTCTTTTCTAAATACAGGACCTGTACCCTGTGACCTTGACCTTGAAAACTGACCTACTTAAAAAAAAATTAGACATTACATTAAATTGGCCATATCTTTTAAATGAGAAAAGATGGGGTTTTCAAATTAAAAATGTTTATTACCTGTGGAAAAACCTTTCTAAATAAACTATAGTTTTGACCTCGTGACCTTGAATTTGAAGTTTGACCTACGTTTCAAAATGTTAATCTTGTTCTTCACTTTTGAATGAGAAGAGATAGGGCTTTTACATTTCACATTATATATTACCTGCTACAAGACCTTTCTAAATAAACTATGATTTCTGACCCCGTGATCTTGAAACTTGACCTACTTTTTAAAAAAGAATTAATCCCGGTTATTTTTTGATTTAGGAGGTAGAGGCCTTCCATATCTGACATGTGCATTACCTGTGGCAAAATATTTCCGAGTATGCTAAGATTGCTGACGCAAAAAAAAGATTTCTGACGCCTTGATCTTCATATTTGACCTAATTTTAAGAAAAAATCAACACATTAAAAGAAAATTATTTTAAAAATCTATCCATATGCAAATATTTTAAAGGTTTGAATAAATAAGTATAAATTATCAAAAACTAAAAAACTAATTTTGTTTATATTGCATAAGAAAAAAATAAATAGCAAAAATGCACATCGTTTAGCATATTCTAAATGAAATTCCATATTTTGCATTAAAAATATTCATTTCTAAAATTTGCAAAAAAATTAATTTCATTTGCATAAAAATACCGCCATTTGCATAAATTTTCGTAATATTAGCCTTATTTACATAAATTTGCATAATGTTAACCTCGTGTACATAAATTTGCATAAAATGTAGCTTCATTTTTGCATAAATGTAGCTTCACTTTCATAAATTTACATAAAATTAGCTTCATTTGCATAAGATTGGCATATTTGCAAAAAATTAGCTCCATTTGCATAAACTTTAAACTTATTTTTATACCCCCGCTTGAAAAGCGGGAGGGTATATACTGGTAGTAATCGTTATGTCCGTCCGTCTATACGTCCGTCTGTTACGCTCTGGGCCATCTCTTATCCGCAACTCCTCTCATACCACAGAATGAAATTTGATGAGACTTTTACAGAATCTTTATTACATATTGTCATTGTGCACCTCCTATTTTACTTTTTGATCAGACACATAATTCAGGTTTCCCATAGCAAAACATGGACACTGTCATTATATTCATATGGGAGGCGGGGGGGGGGTATCATTTAGTGAGCTCATTGCTCACAGTACCTCTAGTTGCATTAAATTTCTTTGAGTTCATGAGCTATTTATTATATATCATTTTGAAAATTTATGATGAACAGTTTTGTACTTCAAATTTTGAAAACCGAATTTACCGAGAATATAAAACACCCAAAACCGAACTTTGTATTTCTAATTTTCTATATTGATTTTTAAAATATAAGTTGTTAAGAAAATTTAAGTTCTGTGTCGATTTTTTAGAAAAATATTTCTTATGTTAGTATGCATATAATGTGATTTGCATTATAAATAAAAAATTGTCTTCAATCGATACTTGCTGGTTGATTATTTTTAAATACTCTCTTTTGTAAAAAGCGTTTTATTTATGAAGACGACTTAATCTGCGCTTCTTTGGTAAATTAAATTCGATATCACAAGGCAAGCTGTTGACAAACAAGTTGACAAAACAGGGATATCACCAGTCCCGTTTAAAGTCATCAGCATGCAAGTTCAATGGTCGATGCGATGCGATATGACGTTGTCAGCAAATACAATCTATCAATAAGTCGAATGCTGTCGTTTTCCCTATTTATTGTTGGGGACATTATTTACACATTGTATGTCTTTTTTACAATTTTCCAGATCATGAGAAGGAGCAAATGGTGGGCACGTCATAACCGTTGACCAGCTTACTCCTCCAAAACATTTGATCTCATCTCTCATGTTTGTTAGAGATCGCTGTTTGCTCTGTTTCCAATTTGTATTTTTTTAATTGAGTTTTGAGCTTACAATCTGTTATCTCCATATTTCATGGCTTTGATCCATGACTTTTTTCGTAACAGAAGGTATTTTTACTTCGAGTAATAACGCTTTTGTTTTTCACTTTTGCGCCTTTGAAAAGGGCGTTATTATATAGCTTTTAAAATAATTATAATTTTTGATACATTACAGATCATGAACCACTAGTACTGTAAATTCAATGTTAGGTTCGGTTGAACGATAAGCGAGTGCGTCAGAGGTTAAAATATTTTCAGAGTCACGTGGTACCCACTTAACAGCAGCCTCTTGTGTTATTAAAGAAGATGGAGGTTTTCTTAAAGTTGTTTTTTGTGTGTTTATTGTTTGTATCCTGTGCCTTGGGGGTAGAGATTATCGACGTGGTGGAACAGTCAGTCTTTGGACAGGGCAATGGTAAGATTGAATAGAAAACAAGAAATTTATTTCAAGTTGAAAGTAATTTTTGAAAGATGAGGTGAATGGGTGCCACTGAGCTATTTATAGATCATTGGCGTATTGCATGCAGGTTTGTTTGAGTATACACAATCAATTCATATAAACGAATGTCCGACAAAAATACTGGAATTTAAGAAATTAAATATTTGTTCCATAATCTTCAATTTCAGGTGTTAACTAGGTTTGTGGAGTACAAAGGTTGACTATAATGTTATATGATATGAAGGCATTTAAACTTCCATTCTTCGAGACGTATAATTTTTCAACTCCATCTATGTATATGTTGTATTTTAAACCATATGACGGTATATTAATTTCTCTGTTTTGATTTCCGTAAATTACAGAGAAAACTACATTCTATTTTACATGTTCAGCGAACCTTTACAACGGTTTGTTATAATATCGAATACTACTGTGGTCATTTTAGAACGGCATCAACCATATTGTACATACACATGTACATGTATATATATACATGTATTTAAAAAATTACAGATGTCTAACTCTTCAAAGGTTTTTAAAATGTTAAAATGTTAACTGATTTAGAAGATGATCCTAAACAGCTGTTTAGAAGATAACATCTGTTTATAATTTGTTTCTGACTGCATGTTTGCAAAAAATAAATAACTGAATAAAAATTAGAATTGATGACCGGACAGATTGAATCCCGTGTCCATTAATGATCAACGTCTTGCAAAGCCGTGTGGATTAAATCAAAGGTCAACGTTACACAATGAAAGAAGATGGGTACACGGTTTAACTGTTTTTGCACACTGTTTATAGAAAAATATTTCTAGAATCAGCAGGTAAAGAGCAAAGTTGTTTCAAATGTGCTCCTGCACCTGGCATGCATTCTGAAATATCCATAGACATTGTGTAAATCACAAATGAAAATGTTGATATCTTTCAAATTGTCATTCTGTCGCTTTAAAAATTCTTGGAAATTTTGTACATGTACGCATACGACAAATGTACATGCAAAATTATAGCCAATGTTAAAGTTCGATAAGATTTTGTAAGAATAGGTCAAATAATTATTGGTATCCAAAAAATGATCTTTTCACAATGAACACACATGAAAAAATGGAAGCCATAGCACCAAGAAATCAAAAGTAATGGGCAAGGTTAAAGTTTTGCAGTCCTGGAGCTTTTATGTTACACATATTGTATTTCTTGTGAAAAGACATTCCTAAGGTACTAACAATTTTGACTCTTGACCTTGAGCATTGAGTTTGACCTATAGTTGAAAAACTCTAACTTTGGCTTTCTTTTTACAGAATGCTACGGCACCCATGTTGGTTTCGGTTACTCTGGAAGTGCTGAGTTCCACTATGAATCACTAATAAGGCGGTACAGGGGATGTAAACATGTAGAGGGAAATCTAGAAATCACGAACCTCCAGTCCTCGGCCAAAATCTCGTACGACCTCTCGTTCCTATCCCAGATCGAGGTTGTGACGGGCTATGTTCTGCTTGGTCTTTTGGACATGGAGTCCATACCACTGACAAATTTAAAACTGATTCGCGGCGATAACATGTTCAATATCATGGGAGAAGATTATGGCCTCGTTGTGGCATTCACGGATTCCGCGGGAAAAGATAATCAGAAAGGACTGAGAGAGCTACAACTTCCAGCACTTAGGGGTATGTACTGCAGAGTAAGGTGGTTGTTTTGGTGGCTAACGAATGAAAGGTTCAAAGATACATGTAATGACATTGAAAATGTGTAAACTGTACACGAATTTGCCTGATGTCATATACCAAGAAAACTAGTACTTACTTAATGCTTTAAGTAAATGAAAGGGTTAATATCATATAACAATGCATTGTTTCTTAAGTCAATTCTTCTAATAAGATCTACGTGAGGGATTCAGAATGAAAATGATACAATAAATTCACTTATAAATTGTTAACATATTTTCATTAAAACGTTTTTAAGAAGCCATTCACATCTTTAACAAAGAGTTCTATATTGATACCTTGCCAATATTGGTGTAATTGGTTCCAGTTGTGAAATGCAAAAGCTTAAAAATATCATATACACCTGCATCTTTTTCAAAGTACATGATGCAAAGTCTGTTATTTCTCCCTCAGAAATCTCTAGAGGCCGCGTGTTGTTTCTGCAGAACCCGCTACTGAACTTTGTGAACACCATTGCTTGGAATGTCATTGTCCCAGGGCTGAAAAACCCAGTCACATACGGAGAAAGCGCCTACAATATGACTAGTAGGTTTCATTTCACATTTTCATAAACTTATAACATCGTAGCATATCGTCATTTAACAGTGTTTAATGGGTCGAATTCCATAAGTACATATACATATGGAGTCATATACGATACTTTTTTAAGGTATGAAGAATTCTAACAATATTTGAGATTATGTAATTGACAGGTCTTGAAGTATGTGATCCGGCATGTGCAAAAGGAGACGAGGCATATTGCTGGGGAAAGGGGCCTAATATGTGTCAAATTGGTAAGCACTGTAGCAGCCAACTTCCGACTTATACCATACATATATACTTGCATATTGCGGCAGTTAACTTCCTTTTCATAAATTAAAATCTTTGGTTACTTCTTTTATACGTAACTGATTTTGCAAAGCAGCATATAAGTTCATTTATTACGTTTTTACTGTGTTTATTTGGTGTGTAAGATACGCATTTGCTTCATCAAATTATGATCATATTTTTTATATATATTTAAAAAAAAATAGAATTTTAGTTTCATTTGTAGAAAGAGTGTGTAGTTTTGGGGCTTTTAGTTATAGGGATAATAGATCGATTGAAGCACGTGTATATTTATTGTATGTAAATGCCTTGAGCTTTTATACGAATTACCAGTAAAACTCGATTATAACGAAGTCACAGGGACCTATGAATTTACTTCGCTATATCCGTAATTCGTTATATCCATATAAGGAATACGTTAAATTTATAAAGTTGGGGATCCAAAATAACCGCTATAACCGTAAATTCGCTATATCCGTGTTCGTACTAAACGAGTTATCCCCAAACATCTATGCAAAACAGAATAAACAATCAATTTATTGTAGCGACATTGAATAAGAATGAAATAAAATTATCCATCTAATATTGTCCAACTAAAGCAAATGAAGATACTTTTTCCTTACCATTTTAAGATGCTGTTCAATCAGCTGTTATGTTTTTATTTTAGTGCACTTTCCAGTCTGTGACGAATTGTGCCCAGGTCGTTGCTATGACAGCACAATAGTGGGATGTTGCCATCCAGAATGTGCCGTGGGTTGCACGGGACCAAGCAACACTCAGTGCTTAGTAAGTTATTTATGCCCCATGCCTTAAATATAAATTGTAAGTAAGTTTAAGCAAGATAGAAATCCGAATGTAAAGTTAATATCGTTTAATATACAGTAAGACATGTTTATACTGGTGTGTTGGAATAGACAGGGGTCAGATTGCACGATGTAAAGAGCATAGAAAATTGTAAAATGGGAATGTAAATAAGGGTTTGAATTCACAGAGAAATGAGTTGCAAAGGAGTCAGATAAAACAGTTTTCACTGCATGTATCATTTACATGAAATGGATATAACTCATTATTACAATGTTATATTTTCAGATGTGTAAATACTTTAAGTCTGGCGACTCCTGTGTGTCCAGTTGTCCTGGGGAAGTCTCCACACGCAATGGACAGGATTGTATTATGAGGGACACTGACGCAACGTCATGGAATGAAGACCTCAACATCTAACACTACTCACACTATGTCATCATCCTGTGTGTGACTTTTTAAATTCTCTGTGAAGGACTCATTACATGGTTCTATAATTTATGATAATTTCCCCATGTGCCAAATGTCATCAGTCCCTCTTGTTTGTACATTCCCCATTCATATTGTCCGGTAATATGTGTGCACTGATCAAAAAAGGTAATTGACATATTCATAATTTTCTTTTCCCAAGGTAAACTGGATTAATACTCACATAGAAATAAAGAGTGGAATAAATTTCGAAATGTGTCAGGGGGATTTACACAAAATAGTTGGTTGTCCACTGACTGTGTCACGTGTTACATGGTCATTACAAGACTGTTCATATATGATTGATGATCCATATTTAGACACTGCATATAACATTATTTCGTATTTTGTAAAGAGCTAATGTGAATAACCTGAGTTGGAAAAAACTACAGTATGTTTCATATAAGTACAGTATAGAATAAAGTTTTAAGAAAAATGTCCATCTCAAGAGTATGAGATTCAAAACTAATCTTCGAATGTTGATTCAATAAAGACACTTAGAGACTTTCCATGCTTTAATACTGTCATTTCAAGGAATGAATGTTTATTGTTGAAGAAGACTTTCTCATACGCTATTCCAGATTTAACCCGGATTTAGAATTCCTGTGAGTAGCTAGAGAAAAACTACATACTTAGTATGGAGTCGTCTTTCGAATGAATTTTCTTATTAACCCATATTTTTAAGTTTTTTCTCAATGGTGAAGTGGATTTGTTTAACGACCCATTCGAAAATTTTACCCTCACAAAGTGACGCCAAAACATGCCGGTGGAGGGCAATTTTAGACCTTTTCTTGGCACTGAGGGGCACTGAGCAGTGAGGGATTATTTTAGTGCCAGCACCTACTGCCACACGGGACCTCGATTTATACGGTCTCATCCGAAGGACCGGTCTCCATACCCCACAGCGGAATTCGAACCTGCGAGGTAAGGATAACCTCTCTACTTCGCAAATTCTACAGCAAACATTCTTACCATTCCGCCGCACAGGTAACGTCCTTAATTGTAAAAGATTCGAACAGTCCTCTCTTTTCTTGCCCTGTGGGTTCCAGATCAGGGCCTGGTGTATGGTGCTGGGTGGTGGCTTCCTTGGGATGTGTCCAATCCAGTCCAACTTTCTCTGATATGCATGTCTAATACTAGTAATTCCTGTCGTGAACTCTTCAATAAAAAGTTCATTTGTGATAATATCAAGATATCGAATACAGAAGAAGCGCATAAGACGGGAACTGTAAAATACCCGGTATATGAGTTGTTTTTTGCCGTTCTCCGTGTGTCTGCTCCAAAAACTAAGGCGGCCTTAAACCTAGAGTTGAGGATCCGCAGTTTGGTAGTACCGGTAATTTGGATGGTATTTAAGGACCTGATGTTCTTCGACGTGGTAAACGCAGCATTAGCCTTATACACTGTTCTTGACTTGCTACATTTAGGTCTCTGCCACCTTGTCTTTCCACCAAAGGTATATGTTGATGAATGACTCAACGTAAATTTTTCTGATGACTCACTACCAGCTGTGGTTGGTAAATGGACAGCTATGTTGATCTCCATCATTTGTTTTCTTCAACTTGATTTCATCGTCACGGTCGTTCAGTCGGTAGACCCTCGCTCCGTGATCGAATGGTTGTAGTTCGAATCACACCCCACGACTGATCCAGGTCGATAAGAAGAGGTAGCAACTGTTCCTTCGCCAAGAGTTCGGCATTTTGAAATGAATTTACCGGTCCTTCGGATGAGACTTTAAAAACAAAGGCCCCGTGTCACGGTAGGCGTTGGTAGGAAAAATAACTCTCACTGCTCACTGGCCCTGAGTGCTGAGTAAAGGTCTAAATTTGAAGCTCTTAGTATGTTGACGTCTCTATATATCTGACACATTCTCGAACGGGACGTCGAACAACAATCAATCAGGTTTATTTTTATTTGAATGTCTTTCCTGCTGTTGTTATTGCTGAGTTATTTTGTCTTGTATCTGGTTGTGCTTATGCGAAAGGAAAGCCAAGTCATCGGCATAGTCAAGGTCATTGAGTTGCGTCAGGAGTGTCCACTGTAAATCATTGTTCCTGTCATATGTAATAGTCCTCATGATCCAGTCCATAACGAAGAAGAACAGCAGTGAAGACACCTTTTCGAACTTTTATTCTTGAACTAGAAACTGTACGTCGGACGTCTGGTCAGCACGTGTACCCCTAGGCAGTGGTAGATGTTAGGAATCAGAGAGACGAGCTTTTTTTGTACTCCATTGTACCTCAGTTTCTTCCACATTATCTCTTGATCAATGCTGTCGAACGCTTTCTTGTAGTCGATGAAGTTGATCACGATACAGAGGGGTACTTCGGATTCAATGATGATGTGCAAACTGGCTATCTGGTCAGCACATGATCTACTGCGTCTAAAACTAGCCTGGTGGTGACAAGAGTTTTGGGTTCACAGCCTCTTATCCCCTCTAGATAGAGGAATCATTTTGATGACCTTGCCAGGCACTAGCAGGAGTATAATTCCATGCTATTCATTTGTACCTACAGAAAAACTCTCACTACTCAATGTCGTTCGGAATGTTCTCTTCCTCCCCGATTATTTTCTTATAGAGGTTGTGTAAGATGTTTACAGTTCTCTCTGTATCAGCTTTCGTGGCTTCCACTTGTATATCGTCAGGCTCTGTCGCTTTCCCATTCTTAAGTGTGGTAATTTTTCTCTGGTCTCTTTGTTGGTTTGTCACATTTCCATTCTTATGTCGATACGATATATCCTGGTAAGCTTGAGATAAAAGATACCACAGCTTCTGACACATCTGTTTCATATTTGGATGATTTACTTGAAAAGACCTTAATGGTAACCAAATGACCAAACTCTATGATAAACTGATGACTTTATCTTGTCAATCGCCAACTGCTTCTTCGACTTTTTAGCAAGGTTGTCAAATGAATGTGATCCCTTTTACATATCCATATATTTGTCTTCACCATTTTATCTGTAGCTGTGTAGTCCTCTTGAGCAATTGCCTTTGCGGCTCTTCTTAGACTTGTGTTCAGTGCCGCTTTCTTGTCCTTCCTCATATATATCCAGTTTCTTCCTGGTTTTAACAGAGATCCACTGTTTTGAGCCTTTTGTCTACCGAGTATCTTACATGTTTCTCGCCACCATTTCATGATGTGCTGCCATTGGGTTTTGATGATAGTATCATTGTTTTCTTGCTGGTTTGTGGCGGCTGGAATTTGTTGGAAGGCTGAAATTGAATGTTGTCCTTAAACTTTCTATGATATGAGGACACTCGCGATTAGCATTGTTCTTGCGTTTGTCATAATGTTTAATTTCATGGGGCGTAGTCTTACTGCCGTAGTCTTTACTGGTCTGATGAAATGTCTATTCCCCTCATCACCTTGGCATCTTTCCATGCTCTTCGAAATTTCTTGCTGATACAAAAATGGTCAGTTTGATTCTGTGTATTGTGTAACATGGTCGAGGGATCTTTATGTTGTCTTGCGTTTGTAAGGGAAGATGCTTCCTTCTGCTACAACGAAAGATGCTTCCTTCTACTAAAAGCTGGTGAGGGGGGCATAGGTCAGCCATTCTCATTAACGCAGGTCAGTCCTTGTATGACCTTGACTTCACTGCAGCTGTGTTGTCAGCTTCGATCTTTGCATGGAAGTCGCCCATATATCTTTCTTCCTTACTTTGCCCAAAACTGTTTGTTATTGCTGGTAGAATGTGTCGTTCTTTGCATCTTCAGTGTCATTGGTGGAGGGCATAACATTGGAGATTGTTCAATTTGATCTTGCTTTACTTGGCGTTAAACTTGGGTACTGCCACGCTTAGGATAAAGCTATCACCCAACCAGGGTACTATGTACAATAAAAGGCTAAATCGGGCATATTTAGTTGGTACGTACTTGTAGCCAGCTGGTATCTCGTGTATGAGTCCATATATCGGAGTGTGTGGTAGACGGATTCGGAACGTATTGTTGCGTCTAGTCCTGCTGTCATTAGATGTTAGGTATAGATCTGTAGGTGTAGCCATTAACGCATGCTTATCTTATATAGCAAAACAAGTCTGATTTTCATTCTTCTCATTACTAATGATTCCCAGTGGAGATCTTGCATCATCTGGGTTACGCTGTCAGGGTGGATAATGGTGGTTTTTGGTGGCGAATCTTTGCACTTTCTCAAGCTAGTTGATTTGCTTATTCAACGGTTGGTCTAACAAGTCCAAGTGAAGGAATTCCGCTTGTTGGTAATTTGTATGACCACGCATTTTTCTGGGTGCAAAGCCATCTGCCAGTCCTCCTCCTTTCTAGTCAGAGAATCAAGATCCTTCTGCAAGGTATCTGCATCAGCCTTGTTTGTTATTGGTCTGCATAGGAGATCGTCGTCTGCAAAAAGGCGAGCATCTGACAGCGTCCTTTCAGGTACTTCGTTGATGTAGAGAATGAACAGTATAGGTCCTAAGACTATCCCTTGTGGCACAACCGGTGCAGTTGTTGAAGTATGGTCCTCCAGTAGCACTTACTCAATTTTACACTATTAATTCCTTTCTAAAAAGTGAGATTGAGATCAAAAGTGAGCTCGTCTAAGTTTTATGGCCCCCAGGCCTGAAATGAAGTTATGACATATGAAGTGTGAACTGTGTACAAACTACTGCAATATTATTATTTTGTGATAAATATTTTAAAATAAATTTATATTAAAGAATTTTTTAAAGAATAAGCAGTAAAATCTTTATCAGGTCCTGTTTATATCCATATCGGTATTTTTTGTTTGCTTCAGAACATAATTAAATAATTCTGCAAATCCGTGAAGGGGGTCAACCTCCATCTTTGAATTAGCGTGTACTTTGAACCATTAAAATTGTAAGGGTGGGAAGACCTTTAATGTATTTCTACAATAATGTTGTCAGCAGATTTTATAGTCAGCAACAGGAGAGGGCGCTTGATTCGACAACTACTGAAAAATTGATTCGAAACCAGGAAAACAGAGGCGAGGTTGTCGGCATCTCTGGGCCTGTATACCACAGGTGTTTGTGGACAAGACCCTCCTTTTACGATGCACCCAACTTTTTTTAGTAAGTATAATTTTAATATAATTCTCTTAATTTTTTATCTCTTACTTTACTTTATCTACACGTTTCTCCTCCATTTAACTTCAATACTTAACAGAATGACTTGGAATTAAAAAAAAAAAAACCTCTATAATTGATTGGTACAAAAACCAACCAATTGACACCCTATTTAAAAAGATCCGTACATGTGGCAGTGTTATACCAGAGGCGATTTAGTGAATACCAAATCGTCAATAGAGTAAACCAATACTAGTAATACATCAATCAAATCCAAACCTTTATGGTCATAAACATGCACGCCAACGATAAAAGGAATTAGAATCATTTAGTGACATGTTCACTATCGATATAAGTATTAATGTAGACTTTTAATTTAGTTTTATATTCACTGTCATGTCATATAATTAAATTACAGTAAAATAAAATTTATAACTTATACGTGAATAATCGTGTACGTTTATATCATGTACGGTCTTTTTAATTACCAATAAAAGTTGCAAAACAATTTTATACTGAAAATCTGACATACACAAACGACGTATAAAAAGGATTGGGAAGCGCCCATGGCACTTTTAGTTGTTAAGTAGCTCCATTCTTGGCGTAAACGTTTTGTATGCGTTGCAAATTTCTATGGTTTATTCCATGATTATAAATGAACAGATATGTTTCTTTGGAAAATTAAATTTTCAAGAATGTTCAAAACCATATTTAGAAATTATTGGTGGTGATTTAGTTTGAATCTAACAAACCAGTATCGCAAATTTTGGCGATAACAGTAATGCCAGACTTAAAACACTATTACTTTTATAATGTTGTCGTATATAAAGTTTTATACTACAATATCAAAATGTTGTAAAGCCAAAAGAAAGAGAGGGTAAGGAAGAGCGAAAGAGTGGTGTGAGAGAAATTATGCTGGGAGAGGGAGACATAGGTTAGGAAAAAAATCGAAAGAGAAACTATTCCGTTTCTCTTTACCTGCCCTACATTCCTATGCCTCCTCGACTCTCTACTCCTGGTTGGAGTGTGGATATACTCCTAGTTTGAGAGGGGAGATAACTCTCCCATACTCTGCTCTCGAGAAAGAAAAGATAGAGAGTGGGGAGAGAGAAGAGAGAGAGAGAGAGTGGGGGAGAGAGAAGAGAGAGTGGGGAGAAGGAAGAGAGAAACAGCAGAGAGAGAATTAGGAGAGAGAGACTGGGAGGAGAGAGAGTATGTGGGGTGAGAGGGAGAGAAGGTGGGTTAGAGAGAGGAGAGAGAGTGGGGAAAGAGAGCAGGGAGAGTGGGAAAAGATAGTGGGACATGCAGGGGGTAGAGAGAGAGAAAGTTGGAGGAAAGAGAGAGTGGGGAGATGAGGTATATATAAAATGGTAAAATTAATAAGTTTTTTTAAGTTAAAAAAATTATTCTGATCAAAATCTGGAATAGGGTTGGGGTTGAACCGGAGACCCCTAATACGAAAACATATCATGATGCACCACTAGGCTATACACACACAATTTAGTTTCCAGTCCAAATACTTCAATAAGGGTACTAGCTGTAGCTCTCTGTTAGCTGCAGAACTGTAGGTCTCTCCTTGAGAAAATTCGGACAGATGAAGCATTATCTATCCGAATTTTCTCAAGCAGAGAGCTACAGTTCTGCAGCTAATTTTCAAAATGTGTGCCCTACATCCGGGGTTTTTTCTCACTTGTTTACAATTAAACTGTGTCGAAGTGTTTGTAACAATATAAGATTCTATCACGAGGAAATGTACAAAATCTATTATACTTGACGTTCTCTTGATACTTTAGGCAGGGACTGAATTAATATTCATTCTTTATAAGTGCATAAATATCAACTTCTTTCGTCGAAGCGGAGCATTTCTCCTCCATTGTTGTGTGTTCTGATCCCATATGATGACGTAGATCCCCCCATGAACTACGCACACCAACTCTCGATTGCCTCCCACATTTTCCATCCATTTAATTTGAATGTTCATTAGTTTTTAGTATATATTTCAGCAAGATGTGTTTGTGAAACACTATGTGCCAGGCGGCAATAAAGTTCGAAAAAATATTTTTAGCACATAGGTCACAGTCAAGGTCACAAAGTCATTGACCTTGGTGTCATTTGAAAGAAATTAATTAGTGGAGTATGCATACTAAATGTGAAGTCTCTCTTATGGTTCTAAAGTTATGGCGAAGGTTCAATAAGGCTTTTTTAAGCCTATAGGTCACAATCAAGGTCAAAAAGTCATTGACTTTGGTGCCATTTGAAAGAACTTAATTAGTGGAGTTTTCATACCAAATATGAAGTCTCTAACCTCTATGGTTCAAAAGTTATAGCAAAGGTTCGAAAAAGTTATTTTTAGCATATAGATTACAATCAAGGTCACAAGGTCATTGAACTTGTCATTTGGCTTGCAGTTACTTTGGAATAGACCTATCCAAAAATTTCAAACTAGTCATCCATCAAGAAAGTGTAATTCAAATCCAGCTTCTGAAGCAAATTTGAGAGTTTTCATCCCTTGATGCATCATTTGTGCATGTTTGGTTAATATAAGCCTTATAGTTAATTGGTATAGACCTGCATAACTTTGACCTGGTCCATTATCTGGAAAATATATGTCATGAAGTCTCTATCTCTTATGGTTCAAAAGTTATGGCGAAGGTCAAAAAGACTTTTTTAAGCATATAGGTCACAGTCAAGGTCACAAGGTCATTGACCGTGGTGTCATTTGAAAGAGCCTAATTAGTGGAGTATGCATACTAAATATGGAGTCTCTATCTCATGTTTCAAAGATTGTGGCGAAAGTTTGAAAAAGCTATTTTTAGCATATAGGTCACAGTCAAGGTCACAAGGTCATTGACCTTGTTGTCATTGAAAGACCTGAATTAGTGGAGTATGTATACGAAATTACCAACCTCGCACGGTTCAAAAGTTATTGCGAAGGTTAAAGTTAAAATCCAGTGACAAAAAGTTTTAAAATTGTTAAATCTCATCGTATAATTTTACTTATTAAAATTCAACATATGAGATTGATAAAGTGATAAAGTACATTTTTTATTTGTTATCTCATTTGAAATTGATAATAAAATGACATATTTCCTGTTTTTAATCTTTTAACCCCCCCCCCCCTCCCGGTGAGACAACAAAACCTTTGGGAAGAATAAAAACTGAAAAAAAGATCTTTTGTTTTGCGGGGGAAGATGTTTTGAAAATAAATTTCAATTTAATTTTCCGTTAATTTCTATAGTGAAATTTTTTCTCAAATTAAAGATCTAGAGGGGGAAGGGGGCCACCCCTTTGAAAATTGAACAGTTATTCAATTATAAACTAAACCATCTAAAAGTTACCTTGGACCCCCCCCCCCCCCTCTGAAAACGCGGATCCGTGTAAGGTTGGTATGAAAAGTCATAGATACATGATTATACGAAGCAAAAGAAGTTAACCCCCCCCCCAACCCCCAACCCCCCCGAAATAGTTTTTCACGTTTAGGAAAGGAGTTTAAGTTTTTTTTTTAATTGTCAAGAAATTTCTGGGTTGGATTTTTTTGAATGGGGTGGACCCCTCCTGGAAAAAAATTCCTGGATACGGGATTGTCTTTTTTTTTTTGAAAATTCACATTTTATATATCAATAAAATATGAATTTTATTTAGATGTGTGTGACAGTTGGCAGTAAGCAGTGAGCAGTTGGCAGTAAGCAGTTAGCAGTTGGCAGTAAGCAGTTGGCTGGGGTGGATATAAAACTGTTAGATTCTGCGGGTTTTTTTTTTTAACCGTTTGTTTAATTCCATCGGGATCGATATTCAACAAACTGAGGTCATGGTCAAAGACTTAGCAGAAGTGATTTTGTCACTTTGACGCGGAAAAGCAGGCAGAGTTTGATATCCCTCTTTGCACACAAGTAATTAATTAATCAATAATGCTTTACATTTGATATGTGTGTTTTATATGTAATGTTTTCTATCCCCTTTGCTCCTGTCGCCGTGATTTGGCAACAACAGGAATTTAGAGATAATTCTAACTGAAATAATAATTATCTTCTTCGAAAAATATCTTTTTTGGGTTACATTGATTGAAAGTTTACCTTATTTAACGAGATATTTTGCATTTGTTTACATTGTTTATCTCAATTCACTATAATAACATATACATGTAACTTCAGTTAAGTAATATCCTGTTAATCAGCTGTGAAACAGGAGGAATGTACATGTACATACGTGCTGCATAGCAGTGATATTGGAAGAGTTGGGCCGGAATTAAAAATATCTTTGTTTCCCCTAACCCGACCCTAAATTCTCAAGTTGGGTCGGTAGGTAGGTAAACAATTTTATTTTCTGTCAGCAGCTTTGAAAATACATTCTAAAATTTAATGGAAAATTACATTAATTTTATAAATAAGAAAAGTACAAAAGAAAGTGATTTGTGAACAAAATGCTAAGTATCATACATATGCCGTTTAAAAGCAAAATTCATGATTAATTAATTCAAAACTGTAATTTTGATGAACTTGTGAAATATCTCACGCCAGAGTACATTTACACAAATCGAATAAAAAGACAAGATTCTCAAAAACGCAATTAAAGACTATAGACATCCGAGTATATTTTTTCAAACCTTCAATCACCCTCCAGTGCTTATAGAAAGTCAGTGTACTTTTTTGAGATTTGCAATGGTTCTAGAGCATTTTGCTTTGGAGTTGAGACGTAAGTGGTTAGTTTTAAGTCGCAGGTTCAAATACCAATGAGGAATGTTGAAAACGGTCCTTCAAAAGGGACCATAAAAACTTACATCCAGTGTCGCAGAAGATGATGGGTCAAAAAAAGATCCCCACTGCTTAATGGCAAATATACCAATCTTCAAGGGCCTAATTAAAGAAAAATACACAGGACGTCTCAGGAAGCTGAATTTTGATTTCAAAACTATTTGGAAAGAATATTTAATCAATATTTAAATGAAACAAATTAAATCTACAAATGATAAAAATGCTATATAAAACAATGTCATAGTCACGAAGTTTAACCCGTAAATAAAGGCATGAAAAAGTACAACTTAATTATATTAATCAGGATGAATATGCAGACATATTTACAACAACTCCTATGATTCCATAATGGCGTAATATAGTAAACATAGGAACATATAGATGAATTGTTTATTAGGTCAAAACTCAAATTAAATAAAATAAAGTGAAATTTAATGATGTGTTCACTATGTGGGCCCCTCATCTGCTTACGACGCTGTATTACGTATTTACGTACCTGAAATTCAACAGACAGATTTTGTTTGTTCGTTGTTTACCGTCCCTTTCGAAGATTTATTCACTCACCTGGAGACGCCAAGACACCTCCGAAACACACTAAATTAGTCATGGTAAATTTTATTATCAAATTGTTTCAAGAGTGAAGAATTCTAGTTAGCTAAAGGCATGAGATTGAGACATCGCCGTTGTTTTATGAAGAAATACTTCTCTGTATTCACACCTGGGCACTATTTTTTGTCCCCATCAAATGCTTGAAAATCACAATAGAACAATATCGAACGTTCTGATAAAAACTGATTTTGATGAAATATTGTATTTTATAAAACTTGATTGACAATAAAAAAAAATTTTGAATCATCTTATTTAAAAAATCTTTTCAGTCGGCGCGATTTAATTGGGTCGGTCGCGTTAGGGGAAACAAAGGTATTTTTTATTTTGGCCTTGTAAGATTCATTACCAAATCATTGAATCTTGTATGTATCTAAAAGCTGTGTGAATGATTATAATGATGAAGTAGTTTTGGCAATATGGACCATGGGTATTGTCCTGGGTAAATCAGTGGTTAGAGCTCCTTACTAAATATATACCAGTCTAGTCGAACCCCCAAACGGGGGTAAACGGAAGTAGGAAAACCGTACCCTCAAACGGGGGTACGCGCATGCGCAAACACTCAAAAAAGTGCCATTTTCACGGAAAAACGTGTGGTCCACAAAATATGCTCGTGCAAAGTGATGGATTATTTCGTAGCCCTGTATGTACTCAAATTTGATAGATTAAAGATGTTTAAAGAGATTGTATTGCAAAAAAGTATATGTTTATTGCAAAAATTGAGACTTTTTCTCTCCCAAAGTTAGCATATTCTGTGCCTTGACCTCCATGCTTGATACAACTAGATTTTTTATTCATATTTTAATAAAACGGATGAATAAATAAACAATGGTTTGTTTAAAGTTGAACTACATAGAATTCCCGTCCCCGGTATTGTAAATTTTGTGTAATTAACATGTTATTTATTATTTTTCGACACTTTCTTGTGTGCCCATCTGAATTTCCTCTGTCCTGTAAACAAACTTTTGTGCTTCAGAAATGAGGTAAATAAAAACGAAAAAAAATTTATTATTTTTTTTAATTGAAAACAAAGGTGTAGACAATTAATTTTTGTATGTTTGTGATTTTTAAAAAAAAATATTTATTTTTTAAATAAGAAGAGTTATCGTTCTTGAATTCTACTTCCGCTGTCGCGCGTTGCATTAAGGTAAGGAAAACCCTCGTTTGAGGGTATACCCCCGTTTGAGGGTTCGACTAGACTGTATACTAGAGGTCATTGGCAATTCCTCCTTTCATACTATGTTTGATGGCCTGTATGTACCACTACCATGACTACAGGTTATATGCCACATGAAGGGAGAAAATAGCAAAGAACCAGACCAAGATGCAAGATGAATCTATAGTCAGTTTGTCTATCAACTGACTATGAGCTATCTGGCCACCAGCTATCAACCCTACCTGTCTGCAGTACTATATTCCTCTTTCCTTAAAGCAATATGAGCTGCATTTTTAGAAAATTATTTTGCTGTTAAATTGTGTTATTATGATTAATTTTTATGTGATTTTAACCCTTATGATTAATAAAACTTAAATAAAATTTAAATTGTTTCAGAAGAAATATTTCTGTACAATCAAATATATAGCATTATGTAAGAAATCAATTATGTACAGGACGACAATAATGTCATTTTGCTTAAATCAAAGCTTATGAAAAGTTCCAAGGCTGAAAAGGCATGCATACTTTTCCCTGACAGGGCTTTCAACTGTGACTTTAAGAGCATGTTCAGCTCTAAATGGTGAACCTACCTTACCACCGAATTAGTAATTCCTGACAGTGTGAACTTATCGACCTTGATAGCACAGAAGTAGGAGCACCAGACTAGTAATACAGGAGTCCTGGGTTCATATCCTTGTCCAGCCATATACAATAACATAGACGTATTTTCTTTAATCACCCTATTTTCTTTTACAATATAATGAACAGATAGCCCTTCACCAAATCCTAAAGAGATTATTTTATTAATTTTTATCCTATGAAGTAGCCCTTCTGCCTGACTTATTTTTAGAGGTTTTTTTTTCAATTTTTATTTTCAACACTACAAGAGAACTTGGGATATTATATCCTAAGATATTCACAGCTAATCCTCACCTATGGTGCCAGGGGCCTATTGGATCGGATAAATTATATCATAGATATGTATATGTAATATAAGTAAATATATATATAATATATATTATTTTTAGAGTTAACAAAATAATATGCACCGATTTAGCAAGACGATGCGTAGATTGGCCAAGTATGGAATTGTGATTGGAGGTGGAACCTGTATCTTGGCATGGACCTCAATGTCAAGTCCTCAGGTTTGTTATACACTCTTAATAAAGCATAAACTTCATATTGTGAAATCACTAATTTTCATGGGGGTTTAATTTTTCGTTGTTTTCGAGGTATGAAGAGACCCATGAATACGTAATATCGCAACTACCAATAAGTATCTCGCAGTTATCTAACTTACTACCACTCTTTTGCGGGGGAGAGAGAAAGGTCTAAATTTCTGGGGCACATGATATTGTTTACAGTAGTGACAATCAACTGATTCCAACAATTTAATGCCGAAATCACAATGTTTTGCCAGATATTGAACTCCAAATAGTACATTGTCATATAAGGAAAGTTTAGAATATTTTATCTGCTTTAAAATGTGACGATTTTCAATGAAAATTTAACTAGAAGAGTCCGCTTAATTAAAAATATCGTTAAAAATGTAACAATTTAGGATTGGCTCCTCTCAAAAATTTATTAGGCTTGTTCAGCGATTGTTTAGCAAAGTATTCCACCAGGATTTTTTACTTATCTGTCCTTGTAAATGCTACAATGATCGATCTTGCATTATATTAAATAGCACATTTGCCCCCACCCAACAGACGTTTCCTACCTCCATCGCGAAAGAGTTCCGCCTAGTTAAGTAATCGCGATATCAAGTATTCATGCCCACCACGAAATGTAAATTTTCGTATGCATAACTACTAAAAAGTTCTTCATCCACGAAATTAAATCCCCACGAACTAATAATTTTTTCTCAAACCAGGAAAATTTGACACAACGAAAATATGTGATTTTACAGTATATTAGTTTTTGAATATTAAATGTCGTGTATTGAAATTTGTAATTCATATTTTATATGATTGTAAACAAATTGGTTAACCAAATTTAGAGTTTTAAAAAAGTGTTGTTGATGGCTCACTTATTGCCATCATCATTATATACGCTTATCAATTTAAAATCACCCCCATTTCCTGGTGAAGAAAGAAGATTTATTATCAGTCTTTTTTATAATGTTATGTTGAATCTGGTTTGATGATAAAAATGCTCAAGGGATAGTTATTGCAATGAAGACATTTTAAGATTGAAATTATTTCAATCCATGTTAATGTTTACAGGTACCCAATGTACATGCGGAGGATGATCAGATGAAGTATGCCTGGTCCCCCCTCCCTACCCGCCAGAACATGATGGACTCACTGAAGACGGACGAGTTTGATGTCTTAGTTATTGGAGGGGGAGCCACAGGGTGTGGAGTGGCCTTAGATGCTGTCAGCAGAGGTAGAGATTTTGTAGTATCAAACAAAAATACTCTCTTTAATTATAACTTCTGAAGTACAAATTGTTAAATTTGGTACAGTAAAACTCGGTTATAGCGAAGTCCTGGGGACCTGTGAATTTAATTCGCTATATCCGTAATTCGTTATATCCGTATAGCGAATTCGTAGAACCATATATAGCGAATTCGCTATATGCATGTTTTACATCAAGTATTACTACCAAATATGTTAGGGAACCAAAATTTAAAAAAAGATACCTCCAATAAACAAGGTTTTATTATGAATTGAATTTTACATACAAATGTTAAAATAAAATAAAGTCAGTTCAATTTATCAGATTTTGAGATCTGTACAGTTCGTTATAAAAGATGTTAATTTCATTATATTTAACCTCAACGGGACTCAAAATCAGTTCGCTATATCCGTAAATTCGTTATATCAGAGTTCGCTATAACCATCAAAATTTACAAAGATTTGTTAAGCATTTTGCTGGGGACCCAGAAAAACTTCGCTATATCCGTGAATTCGCTATATCTGTGTTCGCACTAAACGAGTTTTACTGTAAATTTTTATGTTTCATTTGTGTTGTAAATTGATTTACATTATACATGTATGAAGAAACAATTAAGAAATTTTCTATTTTTTATTCATAATTAATTTTAGGTCTGAAGACAGCTTTAGTAGAAAAGTTTGACTTTTCCTCTGGAACCAGCAGTCGAAGCACCAAGTTGATACATGGAGGTGTCCGTTATCTACAAAAAGCTGTTTTTGGATTGGATATAGAACAGGTGGCACTTCTTAAGTGATTTTTTTAATGAAGAGTTAATAGAAAAAGTTTTTTTTTGTTTCATTTAAGTATATAATTTTGATATGTGGAAATAAGCCCCAAATTAATTCAGTATTTACTTTTGCTTTGTTTCTTTCAGTATCGAATGGTCAAAGAGGCACTTTCGGAAAGAGCAAATTTAATCCAGATTGCTCCTCATCTAGCATACCCATTTCCTATTATGCTGCCCATTTACAAGTTAGTCAAGTTATTGATTACGAAGTTGTTGAGTATATTTTCTTACAAGTGGTGATAGTTATGGATTATTAATATGTTTTACTTTTATACATGTTTAGAAGAACATTTAAAATAGACAAGTTAAACTTTTGATCAGATACTGGCAGGTTCCCTACTTCTGGGCAGGCATTAAGATGTATGATGTGATAGCTGGAAAGCAACTCCTCAAACCAAGTTACTATTTATCTAAACGTAAAACACTAGAAATATTTCCCATGCTGAAGCAAGAGAAGTTGGTGGGGGCATTGGTTTACTATGATGGTAAGACTTTTTTCTAGTATTGAAGTTATGTATTCTTTCTATATTGATATTTATCATTATTTGTTCTTAATTAAAGTTTTTTGTAGAATAAAAAATGTAGATTTATGTGGAAGATTCAGAATAACTGAGATTTTAGAAAAGTTTGGGTCAAGCTGTAAAATGTTATGTTGAAATTTTCTTGGTACAGTTATGTTTAATTACATTCCAGGACAACATGATGATGCCAGGATGAACATTTCTATGGCTATCAGTGCTGCTCGTATGGGAGGTACCATTACAAACTATACAGAGGTCTTAAAACTTTACAAAAAGACTGACGAGAATGGGAAAGAAATTGTCTGTGGAGCCAGAATTAAGGACAGACAAACTGGTAGGTATAGGCAGAGTAGAATTAAGAGATGTATAGAAGACTTGTGGGTGTAATTTGCAAACATGTCCAAGAACGAATTCGATGTGGATATCGATGTCAAATTCATTCATTATTAGCATGAATATGAAATTAAATTATGATAAGGAAAGGGTTAGTGGTTGTTATTGTTTTTCATTAGGTTTAAAGTATGATGTTGGGTGAAAGTGAAAGTTGTTAAATGTTTTAACAATCAAGATTCGATATCGATACGATATCGTTGATATCGACGATATCGACAGTAGGGTAAACTAATTAATCAGAAAGTAAATATGCACAAGCGTTGCATGAAGAAACAGAACTTATTGCCATGGGATATGTCAAAAATAAAGATTTTTGTATTAGGGTGAA